ACGTCCCCTCGCGACCCGGCGAATCGTCAGGATTCGAATCCCGACCATCGAGTCTCAGTCGAGGTCCGTTCCTCGTCTGGGCTCTCGTCTGGTGCAGTCTCTCCGACCAGGCCATGACCGAACCCGCACGCCGCTTTTCGTCATCGCGAACGGCGCAAATTGCACGCGACGCAGTGCACAATAACATTTCAGCTTCCGTTGTTTTGTGTGTGCCGAATATCGGTCCCATGCCTACAGTCGCAACGTCACGCACGCGCCTACGCCACGAGCTCGTACGGCTACAGTTGGAGCAGCGCGACCGCTGCACATTCACATTGAGGTGGCCAAGCCAGACAACTGCGTTGGGAGTAGCGGCGTGGTAAACCATCCATGGGAGACTCATCCTTCGTACCTGTGAATCGCGAAGAGAGTCGTCATATGTTCCACGGTAACAAGTCTTCGGACACTCACCGGATGGATTCGTTTTTAATTTCCCGTGTGTGCATAATCATCATCAGCACGTGGTGGCAATTTAACAATGGATGGTCACGTGACGCGTGTGAATCGATTGGCGCCGATGAGATGATGATGGGGGGGGGATAGCACGTGGCGATATTAGATAATTAAGATGGTGATAACGATTTACGGCGTACGATGCCGGTAGCTCATGTAGCAATAGAAGATGATGTCGACGATCATGGAGAGCGTGTTACAATTGCTTTTGTGGAAATATAGCTTTTTTTATTAAGATTACGGAAGAGGGTATAATGTTAATAGCTCATGCAAAAATCTTAAGATGATTGAGTACAAATGATACATAATAACGTCAATCCACTGTTGGATGGATAATCGAGACTTGACTATCATCATCATCAGCCATGGTCAATCTGCAACTGAATGAATATCGAGACTTGACTCTGTATGAAGATATTACCCTTAGATACCGACACCAACACGGCATCTGAGACTTCACGCTCAGGCAGAGCGAGTTCACGCGAATGCCAACGTTCAAGCTCACTTCGTGTAACCAGGTGGCGAGAACTCAAAAGAGACCAGGGAGAGAAGTCGGCATTCGCAAGGTGACCTGGGGCTTGAGTCTGCAGCCAGTAGAGGGCGCTGATTGCGACTGGGCTGCGTGTGGAATCCCAAATTGAGTCGTTTTCGATGTCATTTTCTCACGTGGCAAATGTTGACCGTGACACCGGCACGCAGTGAGGTGCTCTTGCGAATGACGCCACGGGAGAGGGGGGCTGTGACGTGCACGGTGAGTGAAGCAGACGGCGCAGAGCAGTAGAATCGGTGCGCTTACTGCACCCGCAGTGATAACCAGGGCGGCCACTGTAAAATCGAGCCGCGACGAGCTTCCTGCCACGCGTGAGACGAGAGGCGGCGCGAGCTGCCCACCTCGCCGTGCAACAATCGTGGAGGATATTAAAAAAGGCATCAAAAAGGTAAACAGATCATTCATCGCCTTCCCATATTATATCCGTGTCTCCAAGTCATGTGCCGTATTTCTAACCCATCCCAGCAGCCGCACGCCCTTCTGGGGGCGCGCGGTGTCGGCAGAATTGACTCTTCACAAGCAAAACTCTCAACCGGTTTCGCCACTCAGTGTCTCATCAGCAGAGTTTCAGGCTCTGCTTGAATCAATGCTGGTGAGCTGCCAGATGTCTATAGGCAAGGCCCTGCGCGACACGGGGGCTTGGCCAGTAAGAACGTCTGTGTGCTGCGTGGCGAGTAGCAGGGCGCAGTGCGGAAAACCGCTTCGGTTGTACTGCGCTTCTACGTTCCCTGCCTTCACCACCAACCCGCACACCGCCCAGCGTGGTGAAGTATGGTCAAATAACCCCCCGCGACGCGCACGTGATGGGGAGGGACCTCGTCCAGCAGTGGATTGACCAAGGGCCGTAAATGACATAACACCTGTAGTAGCAGCAGCACGATTGCAACAGAGAACCGCGTGTTGTTGTTGTGTTGTTTGTTGTCCTTCCCCCGCACCTCCGAGTAGCACGGTTGGCTACGTACGGCGCGAAAGAGGTTCTACATACTCTACATACACACAGAGAGGGCGAGAGAGACGAGTTTACAAATCGTGTATGATCTCCCTGCTGGAAATATACAAATGACCCGGTAGGATAAAACATAGTTTCGTTTGTATATGTAAGTGTTTTGTTTACCTTTCCTATACTTTGCACTCCTGTTGTGTGTGTGTGTATATTGTTTGTTGCTGCAACGTGTTTTGTTAATGGGATTATTCCTCTTGCGGTATAAATATTCTGCTCTGCGAGCCGCCTCGTCCGGACCTGACGGCACCGCTCGCTCCGAGTCGCCGCTAGGGGGAGGTGACGCTCCTCGGTGCGATGGCCGAGAGCCCAGGGCATTCCATTCTGTTTACAACAACAACTATTGTTATTTGATTATCCAGGAGAGCCACGCTTGAGGCATAAGACTCTTTTCCAAAAGGGTTATGCTGCTGCTACATTCGGTTTGTATTTGAAAATTACTTTTTTTAAAGCCAACTAATGGTGAGATGCGTCTAATATTAATATACACGTGCGGAGCAAACCGGAGCACCGGGAGAAAATTCAAGCCTTGTGCGAGAGGGCAATACTATATCCCCGTACAGATGGAAACAGATGGCGATTGGTCCACTTGCTGTACTTGTGCGTGTGAAGATCAATTATTTGTGCCACACACAAACTCGATATCCGAATCATCTGGAGTGAATACAACTTTACAAGCGAGATGGAACTCTCCTACCTCTCATCTCACCCTGCTCCCCTCCATGCACTCTGCGCTCCAGCAACCAAGGATTTCTGTCAATCATCACTCAGTGGGAGGTCGCTCCGTCTCCACTGCGCTCCCCACTGTCTAAAACCCACTTCCCCCAGCAACCCGTGCTGTCGATTCCCTGCCCTGGTGTGAGTCCAGGCTGTACACCCTCCTCCACTTTCGGCTGTGTCCACTGCTGCCACTATAATCAACATCCGATTAGCACCTTCAATTAGCGCGGTTGGCTACGTACGGTGCAGCGTTTGGAGATTTGATCGCATCTCGACGCCACTGTATCAATCCACAGATGCCACCCGGTGGTGGTGGTGGTGCTGGTGGTGGTGCTGGTGCTGGTGGTGGTGGTGCTGGTGGTGCTGGTGGTGGTGGTGCTGGTGGTGGTGCTGGTGGTGGTGCTGGTGGTGGTGCTGGTGATGGTGGTGGTGCTGGTGGCGCTGGTGGTGCTGGTGGTGGTGCTGGTGGTGGTGCTGGTGGTGGTGGTGATGGTGGTGGTGCTGGTGCTGGTGATGGTGGTGGTGCTGGTGGTGCTGGTGCTGGTGGTGGTGCTGGTGGTGGTGGTGCTGCGACTGACACTGCGTTGGCACCGGTGCTCAACCAACAACAACGACCACCACTCGACGATGAGTCGATGACCCTCCCTTCTTCACGACACACGGGCTGTGGAGTCTTATTTTGTTACCACAATCCACCGGCTCTCACAGCCTTCTGGTGGACCCAGATGATGTGGTGCTCGTGTCCAAATCGTTCCATCCTGTCTCATCATCTGCTTGGTCGCCACGGTGACGCCTGGAAGTCGTGGGCTCCATTGGGACCCTGTCGCCTGCATATTTGGAGTGTGCGTGTGTCTCTCCCCGTGGTTGTGTGGATGTTCTCCGGGGCCTCCGGCATTTCAACTCGACATTTAGAAACACGCGTTTCGAGTGTTTGGCTGCTAATACATTTACACATTATAAGCCACTTCGTTGAGCTGTCATTTATAGCCAGGTCGCTTCTTAAAAAGAGCTACATGGCTCGGCGAGCCTTACCTGGTAAAATATTAAAACAAAAAAGTGTTAAGTTGACTTAAGGGTCTCCAGCACGGCGGCAGTGGTTGTTGTTCTGTGGGTTCCACAGCACGGAGCCCAGGGCCCTGCGGGTCCCCCCGACCCCTGGAGGCCGAGGAGACTTCAAGTCTCGACTGAAGACCCCACCGCCTGTGTGGAGAGACCCTCTCCTCCCTCCTCGGTTACTTCTCACTCATTCCTTCCTGTTTTACACGCACGCCACTCTGACTGACATCCGTTTATTATGGGCGCCTTACAGATCTAATTTATTATGATTATCAGTTTAATTAACATCATCCCGGAACTGCGTCCGATCTCGACAGCGAAGCAGGTGTGAGCCCGGGCAAGGCTCGGATGTGCGGCGATCGCCGCCGTGCATAACAGGTGCTATAGGCTGCTGCAGGGACCGCGTGGCGGTCGGCAGAGGGCAGTGCTGCGAATTCCATCATTGAAGTGAACGCGCACGGCCATCGCCAGGCCATCTTCGCGAGAGGCCGCACTGGCGAGCGGAACGACTGCAGCATGGCCGAGTAACCCAGCATGACGACTCGCACGGCGGGCGCGGGAGAAGCAAGTGGCCTGACAGAGCGAGAGGACTGCCCCAGCACGCAAGTGCGGTGTGGGGCCGCTCATAAATGACGTCACGCGATTTTTGACGATTTTTTGACCCCCCCCCCCCTCGTCACACGGCGTCACAAAAAGTCAGACCCCCCCCCCCTCAAATATGACGTCACAAAGCTCTGCCCCCCCCCCCCCAAAAAAATAAAACATGCTTCAAATCGCTTTAAACTATTGTCATTGTAGTGCGTATTTAACGTGGCGCTGCAACTCTGATGTTGTAGGAGAAAACATTTATTTAAAAGTCTATTTAATTAATTAGAACGTGTTGTCTATATTTAAAGTTGCGCATTTTGATGTGACGTCACATTTCTCACCCCCCCCCCCAGGTGCGTGACGTCATTTATGGACGGCCTCTTTGTGTGCCCGTGCGGAATGTCTGACGTCTTGCTCTGCGTCTCTGCCTCGCTGCAGCTCATGGGCTTCGTGGGGGGTGGAGGGAGGGGGTGGTGGGGGGTGGAGGGAGGGGGTGTTGGGGGGTGGAGGGAGGGGGTGGTGGGGGGGTGGAGGGAGGGGGTGGTGAGTCATGGCGGTGGGGGGAGAATGAGTCATGGGGGTGGAGTGGTGGAGCGGGGGGGGGGTGAGAGACACGTGACTGGACCGGTCTTAACTTCGGGTGACTTGATCAGAGCAGGTGTGCTGCGGCGCTCTGCCCCAGTACAGGTGCGAGTGAGTTCGACACGGGTGTGAGGGCAGTGTCGGTGTCAAGCCTAGGACAGGTGTGTGTCTGTGTGGTCCGCGGTGTCGTTTGAACGGCTCTGGTGGCTCCCGACTGTTCACGCGTAGAGTTGGGCCAGGTCTTCGTAGCGCTGTCGGCTGAAGCTGATTGGAGGCGATGCTGAGTTGGCTGTAAGAGGCCAGCGCTGTTCGACCTCGGTCGTGGCTCTTTGCTCGGCCAGGCAGTGACGGCGGCTCTCGCGCTCTCGGCGGGACATGGGGAACTCCATCGCGCAGTGGCAGGACCCGCGACTCGTGGCGGACTTCCAACGCTTCTGCGGGCTGGAGGCCACCTGGGAACCATCTCCAAAGAACAACGGCACCCCGCATCATCACGGGATCACCGGTCATTGGACGCAGAATCATGGGATCATCAATGATGGAGTCGCCAATAATGGGACCTCGGATCATGGATTACAGAATAATGATAATGGAATCACCAATCATGGGATTACGAATCTCGAGACGCAGAATAATGGCATCGCCCTTAATGGAATAACGAATCATTGCACACAGAGTAATGGGACTCAGAATAATGGGGCTCAGAGTAATGGGATCACCACTCATGGAACCGAAAATCGTGGGATCGCAAATCACGGGGACGCGGGTCCTCGGCTGCGTTCCGGGCACCGGGAAGGCGGCGAAGGCAACGGCGCGTGGTTGCAGACCGGGACCGGCGAGTACAAGCCTGCCGATGGGGTGAGTAGGCGAGGTGGGCGCGCGGCGAGAGGCTACAGGCGCAGCCCTGCAGCTGCCCGCTCACGCCATTGCCGGTGGAAGGGCCGATGCTCGAGGGAGCTCGAGAGAGAGTGGGGTGAGGGGGGTGGAGGTATTTGGCCTACTCTTCCACGTTGACCAGACGTCTTGGAAGAGATGGGAGTGCCCACACTTGACCACACCGCACGCGAGCGATCGGCTAGCTGTGGTTTGTGAAGCCACGAACTCTGCTGCTGGGTGGGCAGAGGTGACGGTGGGGAGGGGCTAAGAAGCTCGCTCCCATCGTTTCTTCTGCCGCGTCGGGAGATTGAATCGAACCGGTGCCCTCTGCGTGGCGAGTCCAGCGTGCGGACCATCACACCGCGGCAGCGATGGTGACTTGATATGAATGGATTTAAGTGTTTTTATTATTACACTGTGTTGCGAATTACGATACTCAATTATGACGAATCAAAGGGCCATTTGGTGGAAATGTCCCGTTCACGCGACGAGACCCAGTACATCCCAAGAACGACTACTTAACGAATATTGATTCATGTGCTGTGAAGAAGGGCCATTGCCCGAAACGTCGGCTATTATAATTCTTCATTTAAGGCCACGGTGTTATTGGACACGGAACGTGGTGTCGTTGACTGCGCTTGTGCACCACCGCCTGTTGTGTGGAGAGAGGAGGGGAGAGAGACATTTCTGTGGATGTGAGGTGGTGATGGGTGGGACTCGCGCGCGCACAGGGTGAGGAGCTTGGAGGTTGAGAGGAGAAGGCGGTGGGCCTCATGTGGCGCGTCTCAGTCGCGATCACTTCACTCACAGCCAGCGTCCATAATCCACTTCTGATTTTACAACGCAGCTCAAAGACTCACGGTTCGTACAGGAACGCTTCTCTTGATAGCATATAATGCATGCGGCGATGGGCTGTTTTATCTAATTACAATATTGCTCATCGAACGAGTTATGCTAATTAAACAAATATTTAACAGCAGCAACAACAAGAGCAAGCAGCTCGTGGACACATTGGGAAATCACGCGACGCCACGCGTGACGAGAGGAGAGATGCAGAGGAGGACACGGCAGAGCGCGAGTGTGCAGGAAGAGAAAGCGACTCTCCTACCCACTCGCTTCTCAATTACCCGCCCGCCCACTCACTCACTCACCCACTCACCCACTCACTCACCCATTCACTCACATACCCACTCACAAAGCCACTCCCCCACTTACCCACTTACTTACCCATTCACTCACATACACACTCACATACCCACTTACTCACTTATTTACCTTCCCACTCACTCACCCTCTCGCTCACGAACCCGCTCACTCACTTACCTGCCCACTCACGAACCCTCTCGCTTACCCGCCCACTCACCCATACACTCAGCCACTAATTTACTCACTCACTTTTTAGCTAATTTACCCATTCACACACATACTTAGTCGCCCACTCATCCTGTCACTTACCCGTCCACTCACGAACAAACCCACTCATTTACCCACTCATTTCCCCACTGATTAATTTTTCCACGTCATTTACCAACTCGCTCGCTCGCTCACACAAAGGAAGAAAACAACGCAGGGTGTGTGAAGGCGCGGAGTTGAAAGAGCCAGGAGAGGATAAAGGAGACATTTAAATGCAGAGGGAGAAGGTGGGGTGGGGGTGCAGGCGGAGTGGCCCAGGAAGGGAGCTCTAGTGCTGAGATTATTAGCGTGTGTTGTTATTAGCTGTTGTTGTTGTTTGCCTCTCGGCCCTCAAGACCTGAAGCATCATTGCCTTAAGGGGCCTCGCTGTGCTGATGAGGCCATGAAGGTATAAACCCGGTCCTAGTCTTTGCCTGCTTAGACAAACACAGTACAGTGGTGATGGATGAATGACGACATTGCTTGGAAGGTCGTGGAACCCTTTCCAACACGAGCCTGTCCTGGCACGCGTTGGCGCGTTTGCTAAGTACTTTATTCCTTTTAGCTCTAAATTTAGTCCCACACATCTAGGGTATTGCTATGATCAATGTGGCCGGTTTTCTCCAAGTCGAGTTCCCAATAACAATGCCGCTTTCCTGCAAAGTTTCGCTCGCATTGGACCAACTTGACGCCGGTTATGGTGACCCCGCGATACGGGCGGACGCACGGCGATAATGCGCGCGCACACAAGCACACGCGCACACGCTTCCAAACCTAGCCGGGGACAGCGTTCGGAACATGTATCTCTCTTTTTTTCTCTTTGTGGCGTGAAGGAAACCAGCTCAACGTGTTTACTTAACCGGGTCTCATGTCCCAGTCGCCGTGGTTGCGTTGTGGCCGTGAGCGGCAGTTGGGGCGCTGTGTGGGTTGCGGGGCTCCCTCGGAACTCCCTCGGCGCCGAGAGGAGAAGCCGCGTCCACTGACGCCGAGCGCAGCGCTCACCCTCCCCCCACCCCCCCACGGCTACGAGTCGCTCCATCTCCACGGCGGAACGACACGGACCCCCAAACAGCCTGCTCCAGAGCTATCAACCCCTTCTCGGTGCCCTACATTGTTTCAGACCATTTCAGGACCTTATTGGTCAACCCGTGCCCTTATAAATCTCAACGTTCATCCTACAAAGTCCCATCACAAGGTACAAACACAAACAAATAGACGAAAACATTGTTGGCCGTATTGAAACGGCTGCACGCAGTATGGACCTGAAAACGCAGTTTCCCTGTACAAGAATTCGGGGTAAACCGTGTGGGTTGACTGCGATTGAACTATGTTGCCCCGACCCCCCACTTAGTTCCGTCTCCACACACAGACTCGCCACAAGTGCGTGCGAGGCCATCGGCCACTTGGCCTGCCGGAGCAATGCTCTGGCGTCTAAGCGAGGCAACCCTGCGCCCGTTTCGATCTTCTGGGCTTCGTCTGTTCTGTTCGCATAATCAATGCGTTTATTTTACAGGTCTGACTGCTGGCTAAACCTACACGTGTGCAATGTGTGCCGTGCGTGTGTAAGAGCATGCATACTTTGGCAAACTATGCCCTCTGGGATATCATCAACTTTGGTCTGTCCACTGCTGGATGAAGGTCGTCCCCATCCCTTACTGTCCTGCAATCGCACCTCCGATTTGCACGGTTGGCTAACGCCCGGTGCGAAATAAGTTCACGATACGGCACACACACACAGTTACACACACACAGTTACACACAGTCACACACATATCCAGACATACACACACAGACACACACACACAGACACACACACAGAGTCCGTCTCCTGCACGCGACCACAGACTACAGGCCACGGACTACAGGCCACGGGCCACCGGCCCTTCTGTTACTGTGACGCCGCCCGGCCCAGAGCCCCGTCGCTCTGCTGAGCGGTCGGTCGGTGTGAGGCCTCTGGCTGAGCGCGCCTCCTCTGCCCCGCGTCGTCCCGCGGGGCAGTCTGCGCACTCTTCACGTTTTCTGTCATTCTCGGCGTCACTCGCTGCCGCGTCTCTTCCCCCCCCCCCCCCACGACGTGGCCAGCGAGGAGGAGCTGCTGGAGAATCGGGTCTCAGAATCATACGATTTTGTCACGCTGGGGGAATCCGATGAGCTGTAAAGCTCTTTTTGACAGATGCCAAGAAGGGGCGGGTCAGAACGTTACAATAACAAGCAATATAAAAACACAATAGGAGTGCAAAGAAAAGGTAAACAAATCACTTAAACAATAAACAACAAACAATTAACAACAAAATAATACAGCAGCACTGACGCGCACCCTGTGGGAGTGGGGAGGGTAAATCTCAGGAGGGTAAATCTCAGGATGGTAAATCTCAGGAGGGTAAATCTCAGGATGGTAAATCTCAGGATGGTAAATCTCAGGAGGGTAAATCTCAGGATGGTAAATCTCAGGATGGTAAATCTCAGGAGGGTAAATCTCAGGATGGTAAATCTCAGGAGGGTAAATCTCAGGATGGTAAATCTCAGGAGGGTAAATCGCAGTCACAGGCAAAGTCGGCGCCGTCGCAAGCGACCCCCGCCACGGGGAGGAAAGCCGAGCAGGCTGCCCGCTGTTGTTTGCTGAGCTGTAATCCACCACCACCGTCACAGCGCATAGATACACACAGACACACACAGATACACACACAGATACACACAGGCATAGATCCCCCGTATGGGCCAAGCGCTGTGAGCGAGTAGCACCGATCAAGGGGGGAACGGCACACGAGGGGGTGGGTGGGTGGCCAGCACCACGCCCGGCCGCCTTTGTCTCCCTAGTGGCAATGTTTACACACCGCACCAGGTACTCATTTGAGGCTGAGTCGACCTAGGGGAGGCCCGGGACCGGTTCAGATAATCGTTACTGGTGTTGGCGGTGAGCATGAATCGAACCCGGGTCGCCAGGTTCATAGCGCAGCGCGCTAACCGCTACACTATCGCTCCCTACACGTACACACATACATATACACGTACACACATACGTACACACGCACAAATAGCGAGACGCCGATATCCAAGTGGGTTATCCGGCGATACAAAGCCGTGAGCGAGCGTCGTGGTGTGGCCACGCCCGCAGCCGCCTTTGTCTCTCCAGTGCCGGTGTTTCCACAGCTCGCTGGGTTTGTTCTTTCAAAGCCGAGTCCACCTCGAGCTGGGGTGGGTTTGGGGGTCGAGCATTACTGCGGATAGCGACGCGGGTTCACGGCTTTGCTCTTCAGGGCAAGGCCCGCGGGCCACTGGCGGGCCACTGGCGGGCCACTGGCGGGCCCTCGTGGCCTTTAGCGTGGCCCCCGATAAAACACAAATGGTGAAAACACAACCCCATCAGCAGCAGCAGCATCATCGTGGTGCTGCGGTCACAAACCCCCAATGCCTTCAAATGGCATGGCGGCCCTCACCACACTGGTGACGTCTTAGCGGCGAAAGTGGCTCTCCCGCTCTGAAAATGAGTGAAGAAAGCTGTTGCAGATGCTGGCGGTTTGAACTCGGCGGGCCGCCCTGGCTCAATCTGCAGTGGCGTGTGTGCAGCACCAACAGCGAAATACTACCACGCGGCATCTGCTTCGCAGTGGACATTCAATATCCCGTGGCGTCATATGTCGACGGGTAGGCCATGGTGTTCAGGCTCTACGGTGACTGTTCCAAATTCCCCGCAAATTATGAAGTTGGGAAACATCGCGATCGTCACCCCTCCCCCCACTACCGCGAAAACCTCGCAGGACCCTCCTGCGAGAAGAGGCCTCACTGTCGCCCGTCCCAGAGAGTAGACCGATGGGAGTACCCACTGTGTCCCCCACCGCACGCGCCACCCCTGCCTAAGGACTAACAGCGCACACGCGACGCGTGTACCGTACCTCGAGCCGAGCCATCGACGTGAATCTGTTCTCTGTTCCCCCCTTCATTGAAATCACCATTTGGGGGGCTTGTGGGGGCACGGGTGGGTGTCGAGGGGGGTGTCGTCTTCGTGGAAGCGCGAGGCCCGGGATGTCGTTCCACCGTTGCGTCACCGCGGCCTGGGGGCCATCATCGGCCCGCTGGGTGTGTGACTCTCACGGCGGTGGGCCTGGTGCACTCGCTCCTCGTCTCGGCCCCGTGGCGGCTGTGGGATGTTTACGCAGCTGCGATCTAACTGACGACGTTGTTTGTAGTCCTTCCCCCGCACCTTCGATTCGCACGGTTAGCTACGTACGGTGTGAAAGAAATTCAACATGCGTACAGGCAGACATGGTTGTTGTTTTTTTTCTTCCCAGCAACCTGCACGATGATTGTTGTTATAACAGATTATACCGGCGATGATGCCGCTGCTGCATTGGCAGTGGTGCATAAATAACCACAATAACAAACTGAACACGTTCCATGTCAACAACAACCCACTATGTGGCCTTAAAATTATAACATATAATAAACAATGGTTTGGGCAACGGACCTTCACTATGTATGCATGTATGTTGAACTTCTGTCGCACCATACATAGCCAAACGTGCCAATCAGAGGTGCGCTCTGAAGAACGGACTGTTGGCTGAAACGTCGCCCGCTATCTATATTTTGTTCCACTTGAGGAGCTGTTGACAGACGCGACATTCTGTGATGAGGGTGCTTCCTTGTTTGTGATTCATGGGCTCGCCGCGATTGGCACCGTGGTTGAGCTGCTCGCTTTGTCAACTCACGAATCCGTTCCCGGGTTCGCCACTCGACGAAGTCCGGAGCGGTGCGGGCGAGGCGTCTCTCCCGCCTCGCGGCTCTCGCCGCACCGCAGTCGCCGGTTAACGGTGTGGGGGGGTCTTTGTGGCGGTGCGCTCAGGTCCTCACCTACAGGGTGCGGAGCCGCCTCCTCTACTGGCTATTCCTGGCGGGCGCCACGCTGGGCCGCGAGGTCTTCTACATCACCTTCATGCCCTTCTGCTTCTGGAACTTCGATCCCTTCGTGGCACGCAGGCTGCTCGGCGTGTGGATGGTGAGTGTACCCCCCCCCCGATCACTCACCCCCCCACATGACCTCTCCTGCCGGGCCCCCCACCGCTCGTCAAGCTGACGCAGCCCCCATACCTCCCCCCCACCTCCCCCCGGTCATGAGAGGAGCACACAAGCACCCGTAACAAAATTGTGTTTTGATCCATCGTACGATTTATTGGCTTTTCAAACCAAATACCAACAACCGGCATTTGTTTCAGCAAGCAGACAAACTCCGGACCGGTTTTGAGCTTCTGGGTTATCTCTCATCAGCAGAGTCAAGCTTGTCACACACGCGCCGCTGGATTACCAGATGTCATTGGCGAGAGCGCTCTGTTCAAATTACGCCCCCGCCCCACGTTCAACGCAATTAGCGATACCGTGCCCTCCACGGAGGCCCGCAGAGGGCACGTGGCACCGGGGCAAGCTGGTGCAATCCGCGAACCCGTGCGGTTCCAGTTAACGAGGCAGTGTCACGTTCAGAAACCAGGTCGTAAGGTCACCACCACCACCGCCGCCACCAACGGCAGCAGAGCGCTGTAGACCGACGCGTCCGAGGGTTCACCCATCGCGTCGGTCTGCTCGTGTTGACGCGGCCCAGCGGTGGCAGTGTTCGCCTCCCGTTGCCGAGGTTCGTCGTTCATTCCACGATGAGCACGGCCGTTGCGTTCCGATGTCACTGTAAAAATGTTTTAAAACATTACCCACGAATTACTCAATTGGGATCGCACACCGCAGCAGCAGCAGCAGCATCGCCCCCTTCCTGGGAAAGCTTGGCAGGACCCCCTCCTGGCAGAGAGTCACGAGGCTCGCTGAGGCTTCCCCTCCTGGGTGAAACAACAGCGGTGGCACCGCGAGCCACCGCGTCTCCGAGAGCTTGCACTGCAGCGGCTGTGTCTCAATAAAGCAAGCGGCCTGTCAGCCTGAGCCAGCCACCGGCCGAGCTCATCTGAGCCACCCAGCACCTCGTATGTATGGTCCGAAAGAAGTTCAACATATATAAAACAGATGGTGGGTGGCTCTCGCTAATAGCATCTCGCAATCCAACAGCAGTTGTACAAGCCCGACTGCTGATGAGCCCCAGAAGGTCTGGAGATCGCTTGCCTAACAACATTCTGATGGACTAACAAACACTGTATTGTTGGTTCTTTCGGTAAGTCACGTAGAAGGGAAACAATAAAATAATACAAATATAAAACAATAAAAAAAAACACGACGTTTCGACTGCAACACAAGCAATCATCATCAGGTGTGAAAACCACAACAAGAAAATTTGAAAAAAGTGGCGGTTATTTTTAACGTAGTGAGCATTTTATTGTTTTATATTTTTATTATTTTATTGTTTCCCTTCTACGTGGTGACTTTACCGAAAGAACCAAGAATATGAATCCCTGCAGTCACGAAAGCTTTGAATCAAAATTTAACACACAGTGTTACGCGGAAGGACACAAAATTGAGTTCTGCTTGGCCTGTGTCCATGGTATGACTTGGTCGTTATAAATCCCAGTTTAGAACCAGGCACCAGAACTCGCGCATGCATTCGTGCTCTTATCGCGATGGGGCTCGGGGTGGGGGGACGCACGCCGGGTTCACGAGCGGTGGCCCGGGCGGGGCCCATCTCGATGGAGAACGCGGCCGCTCCGAGCACATGGCACGTCGGGGCTCAAAGTCCGAAGGTTCTGTAGACGCGTCACGGCCGCTCGATAGCAGCGCGTCTCGCGCACGGCGGATGATCGGCCAATCTGTCACGTGTTGTGACCAGGTGAGCGGCGCGCACGCTGCACGCGTGCTGCACGCTGCACACGCCCCGTTTTACGAGAGAAAGGGGAGAGAGCGGACGTAAAAAAATATATATGAGGAGCGTTAATGCGGTGCGAAAATTCACCGTGGCAAGGATCGTGAGGGTGGTGAGGGTGGTGAGGGAGTGTGGCGAGGGTGGCGAGGGTGGTGAGGGTGGTGAGGGTGGTGACGGAGTGTGGTGAGGGTCGTGAGTGTGGCAAGGGTGGTGAAGGAGTGTGGCGAGGGTGATGCGGGAGTGTGGTGAGGGAGTGTGGTGAGGGTGGTGAGGGTGGTAAGGGTGGTGAAGGAGTGTGGCGAGGGTGATGCGGGAGTGTGGCGATGGTGGTGAGGGTGGTGAGGGAGTGTGGCGAGTGTGGTGAGGGAGTGTGGTGAGTGTGGCGAGGGAGTGTGGCGGGGGTGGTGAGGGAGTGTGGTGAGTGTGGTGAGGGAGTGTGGTGAGTGTGGCGAGGGAGTGTGGCGAGGGAGTGTGGCGAGTGTAGTGACGGAGTGTGGTGAGGGTGGTGAGGGTGGTGAGGGTGGTGACGGAGTGTAGTGACGGAGTGTGGTGAGGGTGGTGAGGGAGTGTGGTGAGGGTTTGTTTAAGCCGAGATGTTCTGGGTTCACGCTCCCCAAGCACAGCAGAGCAGCACCCAAGCCGTAGCCGCCGCTTATGGCCGCGCGAGAGCCCAGCACAAAAGGCACTTTCGCAAGGGGGAACTCGGGTGTAAATAAGTACCACGAAACAACAAAGACTTGGGCAGAGATCCATTAACTCATAGACACCATAAACGCTCACGGAGAACCATTCATCCGTAGAGAGACCTTAGACTCACGTAGAGACCCATTAACATGTTTTGTGTATGCGTCTCTCTTCCCGTGGTCGCGTGGATTTTTCTCCATGTCCTCCGCTTTTTCCCCTCCACGTTCAGAATCAACAACAACAACACGAGTTTAGAGTATTTGGCAGCGATAAATGTCCACGTGATGATGATAAGCCACTTCGTTGAGCTCATATTTGCATCCATGTCGCTTCTTAAAAAGAGTTGTATAACGCTGTGGGCCTTACCCGGTAAGGTAAAATAAAAACACTGTTTAGTTTTAGCATGGAGGACCCATAACGCCTACAAAGAAAACTGAAGGTCAAACGCAAACGACCTTTGTGGGCAGGTGAGATGAGAGTGAGAAGGAAGAGCTGGGTCTTCCGGCGCATGCTGCCACAGACTGATGGGGGCAGGCGTAGACTGGCACGGACTTAACACGGGAGACCCACAGACCTGCGCACTTTTTATATTTTGTTTTGCATAGACATCGGAACAGGTTGAGCGCACGGCGCGGCAACGGGAAGTTTCAAATCGGACAGTTAAATGTCATACACTTAGCCGAGACCGAATTTACGATCTGGGGGCGAGGCCGTGCAGAGGCTTGAGTCGCCTTGACAGACGCCCTCCTCCGTTCGTCCACGATCAGTCGCGATAATCGTTTGTGTCGCTTCACGTGAGAGGGCCTGAGAGAGCAGCCTCACACTTTACCCCGCGGCAAGCGGTCCCGCCGTGCCACAGACTGCGCTGTGTCCATTCACACTGCTGGGTTGAACGCGGTAACAATTAAGCGGTTGGTTATTTAAACGAAAAACATCGTGTCATGTATGCTTCTTTCGCGCCGTACGTAGCCAACCGTGCTAAGGTTGATTTTCCCCAACAAAAATAGCCGCCTACTCGGTGGCGAGGAACTTTGGAAGTCTGCGCCAAATTTGGGGAGCGTTTTGTTTGTGTTTTTTTTTGCTGGCGCTCACGAAGAGGTTAAAGATTAACAGCAGTGTCGCTCTGGAGCACAAAATAATGAGGCCAGGCTGCGGCCTCCACTTCGGCACCCACAAGCCAGGTCGCCGTGGTTACGGGGCCCACAGGCAGACACGAGAACAGAAGCCTGGCATTCTTCCATCTACAAGCGGCCTGCTAGGGTTGAGATAATAACGAAACACGCAAATAGGCATATAGACAACACGTCTCCTTGTCAAATGTGTCTCTGCACATAAAATAAATACGTATAAAAGTGTTTTACACAACCCACCAACCGCCCAGAGCCTGCCTGCTGACGAGGCGGCCGGTCCAGAGCATGCGAGCGATCATCCCTTGCCACCCTTAATGGGCGGTTGCCAACAGCACACAGACAGCTTCTGTAAGGGGATCTTTGCACTTGTCAAAGTGATTTACCGCTCAAGTGAGCATTGGGGCGCCGGTGGAAATCCCATCGTCCTATGGCGGGAGCGAGTCTGTTCATTTGACAACCGATGTTGACTTCCCCACAGAGTGGTTACTGATTGTATCGACCCCGGAGGGACGATGGGTTGAGTCGACCCCTAACCAGGAATTGAACTCGTGACCTTCTGATTGCTGCAAGCCACCAGCCCGGTGTACAATACATACAGTACAGACAAATCTTACGCAGCAGGTGAAATTTAATAACTTAAATAGTTGCTGCACATTATGAGACCTCCTTGAATAAAGGTGTCAGTTTTTGTGCCAGTTAAAAGGGTAAAACCTATTACTATAGTTGCTGCACAGTTTCCATGAATGTAAAAAACAGAGGAAGCCAATTATCTCTCGGTTTGCCAAGTGTCAAAACATGTACAGTAATCCTCCCTTACACATCCAATTGGAAACTCCTGCAGCACGACCTCGTGTCAGAAAACGTCCCTGGAAGAGGACATTACAGAACCGCTTCTGAAGCCACGCGAACAGCCTCTTCATGCCCACTCGCCAAACGACTTCTTACGTGCCCACAGAATGTTGTAACACCAGGCGGCCGATACGATCAACTCGCTCCACTGGGGTACCCGGTTTAATCGTGGCCGCAACCTGGATTCGAACCCAGCATGCTGAAAGCATCGCCTGCATTGGGCGGCGTTGCCTTGGGTCAAACAGGGCTCAGCCCCCTCGATCCAGTTGACCCAAAATGACAACACCCCAACAATCTGCTGCTGCTTGTGATAGAAGTGGTAGTGGTGGTAGAGGGATTGTGGTGCTGTTTGTGGTGATGGTAGTGGTGCTAGAGTGATTGTGGTGCTGTTTGTGGTGGTGGAAGTGGTGGGAGAGTGATTGTGGTGCTGTTTGTGGTGGTGGTCGTAGTGGTAGAGTGATTGTGGTGCTGATTGTGGTGGTGGTAGAGTGATGGTGGTGTTATTTGTGGTGTTGGTGGTGCTGGTGGTAGAGTGATGGTGGTACTGTTTGCGGTGATGGTGGTGGTAGAGTGATGGTGGTGCTGTTTGCGGTGATGGTGATCGTGATGGTGTTGCTGTTTGTGGTGGTGGTGATGGTGGTGCTAGAGTGATTGTGGCACTGCTCGTGGTGGTGATGATGGTAGTGGTAGAGTGTGGCGTTACTTGTGGTGGTGGTGGTGGTGGTTTAATACCCATAGCCTGGCACGAGCGCCGTGTTGACGTCACCGCCATAAAGTGGCGAATGGCAGTTGTTGTTGTTGCTGTTCGTGGTGGTGATTGTGATGTTTGTGATGATGATGTCACAAGACTAAACACGCACAGTGGCCGCACTTGTCAGAATGCGCACGTCCCGTGGAGCATCGCAAAACCAACCACCTCAAGGGAAAGTCATTTAACGTCCACTGCGCAACAAAGAGTTGAGTCTCAAAACAATATCTGGGCCACCCCGAGGGACATCGCCAACGTGGCCACCGCCGTTGGCGCCGCTGGGGTAGCCGGCCGGTCGCCCGGGGTGACGCGGCGCGAGCGTCGTCCCGCGGATCTCGTCTCTCGGGTTTCTCGGGGCCCCCCGTGTCCCGCCATGACCTGCGCCCTCTCCCCACACCATCGTCGCCTCTCGCCGCGAATTCGCCGGAGAAAAACCCCCTGCTGGGCGCGTCCGTCTTGGGTTTCCTTTCTCGTCGATTCGCTTCGTGAGCTCGATTGACGCGTTTGTCTCGCCACCTCCCCACGTGTCACCGCGCGCGCGTCCCCAGGTGGTGATGTACGTGGGCCAGGCCTCCAAGGACGTGCTGCGCTGGCCCCGACCGCCCTCCCCGCCGGTGGTGAAGCTGGAGACGCGCGTGGACGCCGAGTACGGCATGCCTTCCACGCACGCCATGGCCGCCACCGCCATCCCCTTCTGCTTCCTGCTGGCCACCGTCGGTCGCTACCAGGTGGCAGGGGAGGGGGCGGGCAACTCGGCGTCGTACTGCACCGTCGGCATCACCTAACTTGAACGACGAGCATCGCCTCGCGCTACCGACATTAATTCACACCACACCAGATATGAATTTGAGGCCGAGTCGACCTCGGGCAATTTCTTGGACAGGTTCAGATAAAAGTCACTGGTGGCCCTAAGCTGGAACAATCAAACCGGGGTCTCCGGATTCGTAGCGCAGCGCGTTAGTCGCTATTCCAACGCTCCACATTTTTAGTTCCATTTATTTGGTATAGCCCTGTGAGCCATACGGCTCTTGAATCGGGTGCAACCGCAACAAACAAAAACACGAACAAGAAAACATCTTAAAGTGACTATGTGACTGTGCAAACAGAAAATCCACATAGTATCAGTGACAGCAGCACATGCACACACACACACACCTGTCTGTCTGTCTATCTGCAGGTGCTTGCTCAGCTGGGCACGCCACATTCTGATACGTTATGCTCCCCCCCCACCCCACACTCAGTACCCGTACGGATGGGGCCTGCTCGTGGCAGTTCTGGTGTGCGCGCTCGTGTCGCTGAGCCGGCTCTACACGGGGATGCACACGGTGCTGGTGAGGATCCTCGCACAACAGACAGAGGCACCCGCGTTAGCCGCCGTCGGCTGACGGGGCCGTCAAGCAAGCACCCGGCGATGGCCGTGGTTGTGATTCGCGCCATGCCCTCCCTCGCCGCGCTCACCCGGGCGATCCGATCTCGGCGGTCCGATCTCGTCGCGGCTGGACGTGCGCCGATGAACCCGGCGTAACCCCCGTGGACGGGTCAAGCTCGACGGCTGCCACCTTTATTTTTTGGTTTAGCGCCGAATTTTGGGGTTTTCGTGTCGTTTCTTCTCGAATCGTTTTGTATTTCTGGACAGAAGGTACAACAGAAGGCACAGGTACAACTGAAGGTACAATATAAGGTACAACAGAAGGTTCAGGTACAACAGAAGGTTCAGGTACAACAGAAGGTTCAGGTACAACATAAGGTTCAGGTACAACAGAAGGTACAGGTACAACAGAAGGTACAGGTACAACTGGTTCTGGCGAGCACAGCCGCAGCCGCTGCAGGTAACCACGGAGCCAAGGGTTGGGCAATGGCGTTGTGCGGCTTCGTAATTTATTATTTATAGTGTATAGGGAGGGCGAGCGCGTAGCGAGGGCGAGCGACGAGGAGCCGTGTGCGAGTAGCTCGGTGGCTTCGGAGCGCCCAGGTTGGGTTCCCCCCCAGTGCATTCCCCCCTTTAGCCGACGCTCATTCCACTGCCAAGCACGAGCGTCTCTGGCTGCCAAGAATGACAACAAGGTGAGGTAGCCATGTGGGTCAGGGGTCAGAGGCGCTGAGCCGGCACCGCTGAGATCCTGTGTTTGAATCTCGGTCAAAGCCACCGCGAGATAAGCGCCTCTGCCCGGTCACCGTTGCCTGCACGCAAAAAAAACATTTGCGTGAAATTTGGTTACGCGCAAAATTTCACTTCCAGCTCTTTACAAATATCGGTTCGGTTTCCTGCTCGAATGAGCACTGAGGCATTGGTGTTCACGGCACCGCTTACAACTCTGAGCCAGTGGTGAAAATTCCACATTCCTATGGCGAGTTTATCCAGCGAGACGACCGGCTGTGTCAACCCCCATCCAAGATTTGATCTCGCACCCTTTCCAAGAGCGATAGAGAGAGAGAGAGAGACATACAGCTAGACTTACACCATGGGTGTAAGTTTCGTTCCCAGGCGGTAAGTCTGGCTCACCGCCTGGGAACGAAACGCGCCCTCAGGTGGAGGAAGTTGACGTTCTCAGGGTACAGAAGAATTCGGAGCGATCAGATGCGGCTGACACCTCCTGTCCACGATCGTGAGAGCTTCGGTGCCGGCTTGTCTCGGGGGGAGGGGGGGGGGGGCGGTGCGAAGGGGCTGGCGGGGTTCAGCAGGGTGCCACCCGGCCCGGTGTTTCGGGTTGAACTGGGCGGACGAGAAAGCCGACGGGACACGTCCGCCGTGACGCAACTCCTCCTGCGGTCGTCGTCGTGTTGGGGAACGTGCCGGGCGCGCGAAGAGAGCGACCGCTCGTGCCCACGGGAGTGGCGGCTCCGGCGGGGGTCGGGGCGGTTGCGCCCCCGTACGGCGTCCCAGATGGAGCGGTGGGATCGTTGCGCCGCGGGTCGTGGGTGATGGCGACGGCTCGGGGTGGCCGTCATCCAGCAGCGGGTCGATTGTGGAACGATGAGGACGAGGAGCGGTCCTCTGGGTGTCACGGTGCGATGGGGGCGAGCGGTGACACGGTGGTCCGCGTGCCGCGCTGCGAACCGCAGCTGACCGCGGTTGTGAGTTGTATCTGATCCCGTCCCGGGTCCCCCCAACCTATACTGACCGCAGTGGTGAAGTATGGTCAAACAAACCCGACGGCTCACGTAATGTGGGACATCGTTCATCTGTCCGTCTATCCTCTTGTCTGTTCATCTGCCCACCTGTTGACGTCCGTCCATCCAACCATTTATCAACCGATCCGTCTGTATGTCTGTCCAGCTATCCATCTGTTCATCGACCAATTTGTGTCTACCTGTCCATCTACCCACACATACCCACCTAACCCACCTACCTACCTACCCACCCACCCACCTAACCACCCACCCACCCACGACGTGCCGGTGCTGCAGGACGTGGTGAGCGGCGTGGCGATCACGGCGGTGATGATCGCCGTGTCCTACCCGCTGTGGGACGTGCTGGACGAGCTGGTGCTGTCGTCGGCGCTCTCCCCGGCCGTCGTGCTGCTGGCGCCCTTCCTGCTGTGCCTCTACTACCCCGAGCTGGACCACTGGAGCACGGCGCGCGGCGACACCACCATCATCATGGGCGCCGGCGCCGGCGGCCTCCTCGCCGGCTGGCTCACCCGGCGCCTGGGCTTCGACGCGGAGCCGCGCGGCCCGGCGGCGGCGCCGTTGGCGCTGCCCGACATGACGCCGCACGGCGTGGTGCGGGCACTCGCCAGGTTCGGCATCGGCATCGCCGTGGTGGTCGTCACGAGACAGGTACAGCTCGACGCCGTGGGTCTAAGCGTGAGATAAAGGTGGACCCCCACCAGGCCCCACCCCGTGTAGGTGCTGAGTTCTGCGTCTCCCCCCCCCCGTGTAGGTGGTGAAGTCGGTGTGTCTCCGCGCCGTGTGCCCCCCCCGTGTCCCCCCCCCCCCCCCCCGGTGTAGGTGGTGAAGTCGGTGTGTCTCCGCGCCGTGTGCCCCCCCCGTGTCCCCCCCCCCCCCCCCCCCGTGTAGGTGGTGAAGTCGGTGTGTCTCCGCGCCGTGTGCCGCGCGTGCCGCGTGTCCCCGCTGGACGCCGAGTCGCGCCGCCGCCTGCAGGTGGAGGTCCCCTACAAGTTTGTGACGTACGCCACCATCGGAGTCACCGCCGTGGGAGGCGTGCCCATCCTACTGCAGAGCCTGGGGCTCGGGTAGACACGGGGCGGGCACCCTCACCACCCTCACCACCCTCACCACCCTCACAACCCCCACCACTCTCACCACCCTCACAACCCTCACCACCCTCACCACCCCCACCACTCTCACCACCCTCACAACCCTCACCACCCTCACCACCCCCACCACTCTCACCACCCTCACAACCCTCACCACCCTCACCACCCTCACCACCCTCACCACCCTCACCACCACCTTAATCACCCTCACCACCCTCACCACCCCCACCATCCTCACCACCCTCACCACCCCCACCATCCTCACCACCCCCACCACCCTCACCACCTTCACCACCCCCACCACCCTCACCACCCTCACCACCCTCACCACCCTCACCACCCCCACCACCACCTTAATCACCCTCACCACCCTCACCACCCTCACCACCCCCACCATCCTCACCACCCTCACCACCCCCACCATCCTCACCACCCCCACCACCCTCACCACCTTCACCACCCCCACCACCCCCACCACCCTCACCACCCTCACCACCTTCATCACCCTCACCACCCCCACCACCCTCACCACCCTCACCACCCTCACCACCACCTTAATCACCCTCACCACCCTCACCACCCCCACCATCCTCACCACCCTCACCACCCCCACCATCCTCACCACCCTCACCACCCCCACCATCCTCACCACCCCCACCACCCTCACCACCTTCACCACCCTCACCACCCTCACCACCCTCACCACCACCTTAATCACCCTCACCACCCTCACCACCCTCACCACCCCCACCATCCTCACCACCCTCACCACCCCCACCATCCTCACCACCCCCACCACCCTCACCACCTTCACCACCCCCACCACCCCCACCACCCTCACCACCCCCACCACCCTCACCACCCTCACCACCCCCACCACCCTCACCACCCTCACCACCCTCACCACCCTCACCACCCCCACCACCACCTTAATCACCCTCACCACCCTCACCACCCTCACCACCCCCACCATCCTCACCACCCTCACCAACCCCACCATCCTCACCACCCCCACCACCCTCACCACCTTCACCACCCCCACCACCCCCACCACCCTCACCACCCTCACCACCTTCATCACCCTCACCACCCCCACCACCCTCACCACCCTCACCACCCTCACCACCACCTTAATCACCCTCACCACCCTCACCACCCCCACCATCCTCACCACCCTCACCACCCCCACCATCCTCACCACCCTCACCACCCCCACCATCCTCACCACCCCCACCACCCTCACCACCTTCACCACCCTCACCACCCTCACCACCCTCACCACCACCTTAATCACCCTCACCACCCTCCCCACCCTCACCACCCCCACCATCCTCACCACCCTCACCACCCCCACCATCCTCACCACCCCCACCACCCTCACCACCCTCACCACCCCCACCACCCCCACCACCCTCACCACCCTCACCACCTTCATCACCCTCACCACCCCCACCACCCTCACCACCCTCACCACCTTCATCACCCTCACCACCCCCACCATCCTCACCACCCTCACCACCCTCACCACCCCCACCACCACCTTAATCACCCTCACCACCCTCACCACCCCCACCATCCTCACCACCCTCACCACCCCCACCATCCTCACCACCCTCACCACCCCCACCATCCTCACCACCCCCACCACCCTCACCACCTTCACCACCCCCACCACCCCCACCACCCTCACCACCTTCACCTTCATCACCCCCACCACCCTTACCACCCCCACCATCCTCACCACCTTCACCACCCTCACCACCCTCACCACCCTCACCACCCCCACCACCCTCACCACCCTCACCACCCCCACCACCCTCACCACCCTCACCACCCTCACCACCCCCACCACCCTTACCACCCTCACCATCCTCACCACCCTCACCACCCTCACCATCCTCACCACCCTCACCACCCTCACCACCCCCCCCACCCTCACCACCCTCACCACCCCCACCACCCTCACCACCCTCACCACCCTCACAACCCCCACCACCCTCATAACCCCCACCACCCTTACCACCCTCACCATCATCACCACCCTCACCATCCTCACCACCCTCACCACCCTCACCACCCTCACAACCCCCACCACCCTCACCACCCTCACCATCCTCACCACCCTCACCATCCTCACCACCCTCACCATCCTCACCACCCTCACCATCCAGCCCTCCCCCTCATTAGACGCCTCATCCTCACCGTTCACCCTCACCGCTCACATCTCACCCTCACCCATACCCTCACCACAAACCCTCACCACTGGGCAAGACGGAAGGGCAGCGGGGGTCTCTGCTCGGACGTCACCGGGGGGCTGAGCGGACGGCGTCGGTGTGACGCTCCGTTGGTACCCCATCATGGACACCGGACACGCTAAGGACACGCTAAGGACACGCTAAGGACATGCCGTGGATGGTACCCCCGTGAAGGCTGCGCGTGCGGCACGTGGAGGTGGAGTTGGTGGCCGTGCTCTCCGCTCGTGAAGCGTGCCCGCCATCACCGGCGATCGCTTGCCGAATGCTGCACCCACTTTCACCAAATTGATATTTTGATTTTTGAACAACACAAATTTAAGTGTACGTATATATTTGTTGGAATATGTTAATGAGCACTAATTTATTGAGTTGTATTTTTTTTCTCTTATTAAAATGCAGCGAGTGGATGCGCCGTGCGTTGTGTGCGGGTTGTTTTGCGCGTAGCACCAACGATGTCCCTGAATTCTGAACTTCTTTCGCACCGTACGTAGCCAACCGCGCTAATCGGCGGTGCGACAGGGGAGGGTGCCACGATGCATGCCCTCGCACCGGGGCACCGGCGCTGCCCTCGAGCAGAGCGTTGTCTACCGGGCCGACGTTTCGGGCAACGATCCCTCCCTAGTTCCTCCTCCTTTGGAGCGGACACGTCACGCTCAGTTTGGAGGGCGCCGTTTGCGCCACAGGAGAGCGCTGTGACCAGGCGGGGTGGCGGCCGCAGGTAGCTGCTGCTGCTGCTGCTGCACGCGGCTGCCCGTGAACCAACACGCTGTGTGGAGGCAGCATCGAGGGTTGGTGGATCACGCAAAGATGTTGTGAGATTCCCCTGCCGTGGGTGTCGAGGAAGTGCAATACGCCTGGCTGGCCACGAGAAGGCGGCAGAGACAAGATGTAGACTCCGCCTGCTCCGTCTGTGCGGGATAGAGTGTTTCCCCCTCGCTCACGCGCATTGGTTTCTACGGTTTCCTCCAACATGGAAAGGCTCGTTAATTGGCTCAAAACGCAATAATATATAGAGGACCACAGAACTTGGGCAATTGTTGGCGCCGACTCTCTCCATTCGAGTGAACGCCTGTGCAGCAGCAGCGTGTGCCGAGTTGACAGCGGCGATGGTGACGATCGTTGAACTTCTTTCACACCGTACGTAGCCAGCCGTGCTAATCGGAGGTGCGGAGAAGTGGGGTGGGGCTGGGATTTAAACAACGGTGAACGAGCAACCGGAATTGAGCCATGGCCTCTCCGCTGCTGAGTGGAGGTCTCCGTTACGAGGTCAGTGAGGACACGGCCCAATGTCTCAATGCCCCCCCCATCGTCTCACTGCCCCCCCCCCCCCCATCGTCTCACTGCCCCCCCCCCCCCCCATCGTCTCACTGCCCCCGCTCCCCCCCGTGAGAGCGCCGTGTGGGGCTGGTGACGTTCCTCCGCTGGGTGATGGCGCCCTCTGGTGGCGCCCCCCGGTGGCGCGCCGCCCTCGTCACTTCGCGATTCCGAGCGGCAGCTCCGCGGATTTGCCATCGCAACTGCACACAACTTCACTGTGTGTGTCACTTTGCTGTGTGTGTGCCACTTTGCTGTGTGCGTCACTTTGCTGTGTGTCACTTTGCTGTGTGCGTGCCACTTTGCTGTGTGTGTGCCACTTTGCTGTGTGTGTGTCACTTTGCTGTGTGTCACTTTGCTGTGTGTGTGTCACTTTGCTGTGTGTCACTTTGCTGTGTGTGTGTCACTTTGCTGTGTGTGTGCCACTTCGCTGTGTGTGCCACTTTTCTGTGTGTGTGCCACCTTGCTGTATGTGTTCCACTTTGCTGTGTGTGTCACTTTGCTGTGTGTGCCACTTCGCTGTGTGTGTGTCACTTTGCTGTGTGTGTGCCACTTTGCTGTATGTGTTCCACTTTGCTGTGTGTGTCACTTTGCTGTGTGTGTGCCACTTTGCTGTATGTGTTCCACTTTGCTGTGTGTGTCACTTTGCTGTGTGCCACTTCGCTGTGTGTCACTTTGCTGTGTGTGCCACTTTGCTGTGTGTGTGCCACTTTTCTGTGTTTTAGTACAAAAGACAGAACCCCCCCCCCCCCCCTAATATCATGAACAGACTGTTGGGGCAAGTGCTGTCAGCGAGCACCTTTGAAGGCCGGAACGTCACACAAAAGGGTGGGTGGCCAACACCACGCCCGGCCGCCTTTGTCTCCCCAGTGGCGATGTTTATTACACATCGCACCGGGTACTCGTTTGTGGCTGAGTTCGACCTAGGGGAGGCCCAGGACCGGTTCAGACAATCGTCACTGGCGTTGGCCCTGAGCGGGAATCGAACTCGGGCGGCCGAGTTCGTAGCGCAGCGCGGTAACCACTGCGACACCTGTATACACACACCTGTATAGTGTATACACACCTGTATACACACACCTGTATAAACACACCTGTATAGTGTATACACACCTGTATACACACCTGTATACACACCTGTATAGTGTATACACACCTGTATAGTGTATACACACCTGTATAGTGTATACACACCTGTATAGTGTGTACACACCTGTATAGTGTATACACACCTGTATAGTGTACACACACCTGTATACACACACCTGTATAGTGTATACACACCTGTATACACACACCTGTATAGTGTATACACACCTGCATAGTTTATACACACCTGTATAGTGTATACACACCTGTATAGTGTATACACACCTGTATACACACCTGTATAGTGTATACACACCTGCATAGTGTATACACACCTGTATAGTGTATACACACCTGTATAGTGTATACACACCTGTATAATATATACACACACCTGTATACA